ATAAAGGAGCAGAGTTTGTTTGTTTGTTTAAACGCGCTAATATCAGGAACTACTTATCCGATTTGAAAAATTCTTTTTCCATTAGATAGCATGTTTATTGAGGAAGGCTATAGGCTATATATCATATAATATATAGTCTATCTATTCCATACTAAAAAATAGATTAACAGTTAATGTGGGAAAAAAAGAAAAAAGTGGGGAAAAAAATCTAGTAATGAAATTGACTCTCATATGTTATATGTTCAAATCTAGGTTTCAGTAAATAACATTAAAGGCACCTTTATTAGTTGTCAGTTAGGTAGGTATATGACTTTGGCGTGAGATGCACGTACTCGTATCTAACATGGAGAATTTAGTGGTTACTGGGTAACAATACTTATTTATTGTTATTTATGTATTTAACAGATAAGCAGAGTGTTAATTTATAAGTCAATAATGATAAAAGCAATAGATGTTATCAAAATCAGTGTCACTTTTCGTATTGAGTTATCTGAAGGATATATCACTAATACGTCTTAGTTGGATGATAAGCGTGATGTAGCATTATTTATGGCATGTCTATTTTCATTACTACTTTAAACCGAAAATGACCGCTCGCGCACGGTCATAATTGTCTTATATGTATTCACCCATACATACATACACAAACATACTCCATTAGGTTTGTATATTGTTATATTTACCACGGTAATATTACATACAGTTTTCCAGCTTCATACAAACGGTCGGAAATCGAGTTATACCTACGCGCCTCGCATTCGGTATGCACTCGGTAGACAACCGTCCGGGGCTGCCACATCGTATAGTTGGATACGAAAATTGTATAAGGTGGTTATGTTATGTAACTTTTATAATTTGATACAAAAATAAACATTTTATTCCTCCCGTAACTTCACTAATGTCAAACAAAAAAGTATCGAGACATCGTAAGTTTTAAAAATAAAAATTAATTAAATATATAAAAAAATAAAATTTAAGTATTTTTAATTTAACTTTTTATCCGCATGCGGATTCTTTATATTATTATATTTAACAATAAAGCTTTTCGTATGTCTCAGTCGAGGCGTAAATATTTTTAAATCTCAAATTTATAAGGGTCACTTACCACCCTTATAAATTTGAGATTTTTTAATTAAATCTACTAATAATATTTTTTAAATAAAATATATAATATTTGAAATCACAAAACTAGAAAGAAACTCAAGTAGGTAGATGAAATTAAACTACTGGCCAGCTACTAAATAAAACTATTATTAGTAGTTTTCATTAAAAAATCTCAAATTTATAAGGGTGGTATGTAGACCTTATAAATTTGAGATTTAAAAATATTTGCGTCTCGAGTGAGACGTACGAAAAGTTTATTGTTAAATTTAATAGTATAAAGAATCCGCATTCGGATAAAAAGTTTAAATAAAAATACTTTTATTTTTAATTTAATTAATTAATTTTTATTTTGAAAACATACGATGTCTCGATACTATTTTGTTTGACATTAGCGAAGTTACGGGAAGAATAAAAATTTTATTTTTGTATCAAAATTCAAAATTATAAAAGTTACATAACATAACCACCTTATACAATTTTCGTATCCAATTATACGATGTGGCAGCCCCGCACGGTTGTCTACCGAGTGTATACCGAACGCGACGCGCATAGGTATAACTCGATTTTCGACCGTTTGTATGAAGATAGAATACTGTATGTAATATTACCGTGACATTACCGTGTATTTACTCAGTCTGGCGGTGCTTTTACGCCGTCGAATTCACTGTCCGAGCCGCCAAGTTGGCGCTAAGCTTAGCGGACGGGCTCACTACCCCCCACCCCTTTCCGGTAACGATTTAAAGGCCCATATTAGGGTAACAGAATATTATCAATTCGATATCAAGTATTACTACTTAAATTATATCAGATTAATACTTATAAACTGTTGTTGGTACACCAATAAATAATTATCTAGATTCAAGGGTAATTCAGGCATAATCGATTTCTTTCAGATCTGTTAAGCAGTTACAGTGTAAAGAAGTAACAAACACGCTCATATGCTCAGAAACTTTCGCGTTATACTTTTAAATTATAATATATCCTCTTTATAATATTACTCGTAGTATAGATATATTGTCCTAATGAAAAATATTCTTGACTTTATTTCTGTCTATACGGCAGAGCAGAATATTGAAAATACAGGTGGTTGGATGTTGGAACGTTGACATAAAAATTAAAAAGTATGTCCCTCGTATCGTAGGGTATGAGGTATCCGAATCACCCCCGTATATGTTACGCGACCTTTCTTAGTTTAAGAGTCGAAATTCTCGGTCAAAAATTCTGAAAAAAAATCATAATTTTTTTCTGTATTTTTGAGAATTTTTGACCTGACCAACTTAAAATTTTTCAAAAAAAATTTATAGAAGACTGTCGACAATTGTTTTTTGGATTTGAATCTTCATCCCTACGATACGAGGGACCTAAATTTTATTTTCGGAAGTCAACGTTCCGACCACCTGTATATGGCCCAACTTTTTCAAACTTTTACGGAGTAAGTAATGACAGTATAAATTAAACATTTTTTTATTTTTTTATCGTAAAATTCGAGTTTTAAAATCTCATTTAAGTTTTTCTTTTAAATTTAAAATCTGTATTAACGTTTTGTTAAAGACTGGCACTTAACAGGTCGTGACTCGTGAGTCCATTATAAATATAAAATAAAAACTAGTGATATATAGTTATTAAAAAGACATTTATTATGTAAAATACTGTTATTTTTATATATTGATCTGTATAGGATAAGTCAAAAAACTTTGTGACGAATGCTCAAAACATATCCAAGGTTAATAAATTCTTTGAAAGAACACAAGTTCTGAATGGTTTACATATTTTATACTAACGAATCACCCTGGCTTTGCTAGGGTGCTGTCGCCAAATACCCTGTTTATTGGTATTAGACGAATATAACATGACACATACTGACAGAACATATCATAATTATAATGTAGCTGTTTAAACATGATTTACTGATTGCTGGTAATGAACATAAACTGATTTAATGTACCAGGGTCTGGTCCTTCGTTAGTGGCCACCAACCTCCCCTATAGCCACCCCGAGCCTCGCTAAACTGGTAACTGATCTGATTTAATATACTGATTTAACTGATCTCACATCACTTGTCTGATTTCTCTGATAACATGTTAACACATGTCTAAGCTGAATCTAATACTCTGAATCTGATTTCTGATCAAGCAATCTGCTCACACGCAAGACGCTGAATAATCATCACATTCTGGTAAGATAAATTCACTTGACAAAACACGGTGTTGCGCCTGATCTGCCTCGCTCGCGTCTCGTCTGCGTCCGATTCAAATTTCAATCTATCCTATCGAACTCTCGTCGTACTACCCTCACGTTAATGACAATTAATAATTTAAATAATTAAAAATTTATTTCGTGATAACCCTACGGTATTCGCGACAGGTATTGTGTTTTCCTGTGGGGATGAAAGATTTTCCTGTAGTAAAAGGTATCTTAAATGTTGACCCGAGTAATAAGTTTGTTAAAATCGGTTTAGTACTTTTTGCGTGAAATGAACCAGATATACAGACAAACAGATAAAAATTTCAATAAATATTGTTTTGGGGTATATGTTCTGTACACAATCCGTCACAAACATGAATTCGTTCATGGTCACAAATAATTTAAAAAATATTTCATGTACAGATTTCGCTTGATTACTGTTTTATTATAAGTATCGATGAATTACTACAAATAAATACTTACAAATACAAATATACAAATAATACAAATAATTATGTATCTAAGTCATAATAATGATAATGGAAGTAGGTATAATTTGTGGTCATTAAAACGGAAAAACAGATTAGTTTTTTTACTTCAATGTCTTGTTTTTTATTTATTTACTAGCATTGTCCGCGGCTCCGCCCGCGTTCAGATGACAAAAACTAAATTCTTAAGTTTTACACATTAGTATACTCTCACATTGCAGTTTTGTATTTTTCTCAGAAATAAAATATTTTCCCGCGGTAAAAAGTATCCTATATATTGACTCGGATAACCAGCTATCACCATATTTCTTATATGTTGACCCGGATAACGAGTTATTATCATACCAAATTTTCTCTAAATCTCGCCAGTGGGTTTTCCGTGATGCGGTAACAGACAGACAGACAAAAATTCTAAAAACTATAGATTCGGCCTCTGTACTTATCAATAATAATGACTATTTCAATAAGATTATCCAAAAAATATTTAATTAGTAGATTAGTTACATTTTATTATATGTATAGATTTTTTTTTATTTTTATGCTGTTTTTAATGCGAAGTAGTAAGAAAGTATATTTTTTTCATGTAATTACTAGAGATTCTGAAAAAAAATCTAATAACCTATATTGTATTTCCAATAGCCACTTTAAGACAGCCCCATACATAAATTATTTAAAAATAGTTAATGCAGACATAACTTTGACCTCGTTACAATTTATTTAAATTTGTATACCCATCCATATAAAATTCTGAATAAACAATTGTATCATTAATATTCTCCTTGTCAAATATTTATACGAATTTCGGTTCATGAAGAATTTGAACATGTGAATATTTCAACTTTGCTTCCCTAGGTGCCTTTTGTATTTATAATCTATACTAATATTATAAAGAGGCAGAGTTTGTGTGTTTGAACGCGCTAATCTCAGGAACTGTTAATCCGATATGAAAAATTATTTTTGCATTAGATAGCCCGTTTTTTGAGGAAGGTTATATATAATATAATATACAGTCTATCTATTCCATACTAATCGTTAAAACCATCCAACCGCCAAGGACAAACCCGAGCGAAGCTAGGATGAGTCGCTAGGGTTGAATATAGGGGTCATAGTCTACCTGAGTACCAAATTTTATCCAAATCTGTTCAGCTGTTTAGTGTGAAGGAGTAACAAACATACACACATACAAACTTTCGCAGTTATTATAGTTCAGATATTTTGTTGCAGCGGGTGCAGCAACTCTAAGGATACTCCTAAGTTTTGCAGTCGGAGGTCTTCTCGGAGACGTCTTCCTTCACCTGTTGCCGGAAGCTTGGCAACACGACCTCGCCGCTACAAAAGGTACCTACATACTTATAAACAAACTTACTGAGTTAAAGGAAATAATTTGATTTTTCCCCAAAATTGTATGTTATCATCATTGATTTTAACTTTTGTTAATATTCTTTGCCTTAAATGTACAATCTGATGAAAATTAATGTTTCTGGGACCAGCCAAGAACATTGTAAAAACAGATTTCTATAAATTCTCTTTCACATATGTTTGCCAAAAGGTGTACAGTCTAAGATCATAGTTAAAGTGTCATTAGTTATTGAAGTTACGACAAACAGACTTATATTATATGGCCTGTGATTTTATATTTATAAATAATAAATAGAACGAAACACATGCATTGGACCGACTATACATATGTAACGTTCGAGTACGTTCGTCCAAAAACTCGGTATAGTTTATTAGTAGGCACTGAAAAAATCCTCCATTTCCATACTTATCTAGCTCGATGATATCGAATTGAATTTTTGTATTTTCATCCTGACTAAAATACTTACAAAATGATAAATAGATAAAGCATAAACAGTATAATATCGACTTCCTAGATTATTGGCTTATTGTTAGATAAAATTTACAAGCGGAGCTAAAGATGTGATTTAAAAAAAAACAAAGCAATAGATAGGTACATGTAAATTGTAAATCATTTAACTTATTCTTAACTTAGTGTCCGTATTAACATTATAAATGCACGTGTATTTAAAACGAACTAAGAGAGATTGCTATGATTTGTGCATAGAATATAGTTTTAGTCGAAGTGACGTAGAGAATTTTTTATTCCGGTACCGGAAATAGGTTGCCACCGAAGGATATTTAGTAAGACTTGCTGGAAGCGAGGATGGTTCGTACTGTTACCGAGGACTGAACAAGTGATAAAACCACCTCTGTTAATATGCAATAAGGAATATATATATATATGTATATAACATATACGACAAAGGAAATTCTCCGATTAAAATATGTTAATATCAGTTAAGCGTGACATTGACAGTGATAAGGAATAATATAAGTGTTTGTTTAGTGCTAAGTTTGTAACGAATTACGGTTATTAAAACAATTCAAATACTATTTTTGGTCCGCGGCTTTGGTGGTGTGGTTTTATCCCGGAAAAATGTACGGTTCCCGTGGGATAGATTTGTTTTTGTCTAGGGACTAACATGAAGCGAAGCGAGGGTGAGTTGCTAGTTTACAAGATTTGTTAAAAATAGTCTTATATTATAACACTGACTATTTTAATTATTTATTATAGTAAATGAATCATTTCATTCTTTAGGCTGTTTTTTTTATAAAATTCTGACGCCTTATTTCCGGCATATCTTTCAAAAATTCTCCCAATGCAAGATGAAATCGACCTTCATAAACTTTCGTCTCATTTTGCTTTCTTTTCTTCAGAATGTAATTTTCATTATTATTAGTATTGTTGATAGCATGTGTGCGTCTTAAAGAACCACTTTGAAAAAAAGTATGTAATAAAAACAAGGTTATAATAATTGACATACTTTTTTTTACACTAATTATTTGTTAATTGCTTTAATAATAAACCACTGATATATAATATATACCTATAAATAATAATTGATGGGTCTCTAAGTTATCGTATCATTCTTCTACTATTATAATATTAACATTAAAAATTATTTATGATGTATGTATTTATAGTTTTATATCATACATGTGTAGTGTATCAACTATCTGGTGTCCATAACACAAGCCTCGTAGCTTACCATGGAACTAAATGGTACTGTGTGTTAATGTCCCAACATATATAAATATGTATGTATATTAACGCCCGTGTCTAAAAGCAGCCTATGTGTCTAGGTCTTAGTCTATATGTGTACCAAATTTCATCCAAATCCGTCCAGCCGTTTGAACGTGAAGCAGAAACAAACAAACATATAAAGTTGCTGTCTATAGCAGTGACCCTATTATGTACTTGAAAGATAGCAAGCACTATAGATATTCCAAAAATGGTAGAACAAAGGGCTACTTATCTTTGTAAAGTGGTAGTGTGACGTTATATACACACATAACGTTACGATAAAAAATTGAATAAATAAACTGTTTTTGTTTTAAAGTGTTTCTCATAAATTAGGTTTTTCTATTAAATTGACAAATTTTAACATAAATTTTATTTTGAGTATAAATTAACATATGTACCTTATTAATAAAACTATAAATAAATTACATTGCGATACCGATAATATCTATTTCCCTGCGTATATTACGTTTGTTGAGGTTTCGTGTTGCTAGCATGCGATATTTTGCTATTAAGGTAAAATAAACTTTATATTAAATGTTTTAAGTTGAAAATCGTATATACACAACGATTTTAATTCGTTGAGGTTTAATGTTCCAAGTTCAACATACGAGAAAAATTGTAAACAAACGTGAGTGAATGAATCACCTGCTTGTATAATTAAATCGTTTCTGGAAAGGCATGCCTATCTATATATTCTAGTTTCGACTACTGCACCGTCGATCTTAGGTTCGAATCCTGCACACGGCTTTCTTCTTTCTATACTTATAGGGTCTGCTCTTCTCTTTTTATATTGACAATTCCATGTGATTTTCCCGGTTTTGCAAAATTTACTGGTCATTTTTTTTCTGTCATGAAATACTTACTAGCGGAGTTAAAAGTCAACGATATGTACAGCGTACAGCCCAGTATCTCGGAGAGACTGGTCGTGCCGAGCTCTCTGCCTATCACAATATGAGAGCAAAGGAATACAGAGTGAGTGCACTTGTGTTTGCGTACACACTTGGCCACTTTAACATGTATCATGTAGTTGTTGAAATCGGTTAGAAAAACATTATATTATCGATTGATTGCAAATCAAATTAAAGATCCCCTACAGTTACGTAAAACGTAATTTATTGATAACTAGCATTGCCCGCGACTCCGCCCGCGTTCAGATGACCAAAAACCAAATTCTTAGGTTTTACATATTAGTATACACTTACATTGCAGTTTCTGTATTTTTTCTCAGAAATGAGATATTTTTCTGCGGTAAAAAGTATCCTATATGTTGACCCTGATAACCAGCTAATCACCATACCAAAATTCATCAAAATCCTTCCAGTGGTTTTTCTGTGATGCGGTAACAGACAGACAGACAAAAATTCTAAAAACTATAGATTCAGCCTCCGTATCAGTAATAATGACTATTTCAATAAGATTTTCCAAAAAATATTTAATGTACAGATTCGGCTTAGTTACAATTTTATTATATATGTATAGATAGGTAATATAAAGTAGGTACTTGGCTTTGAATCAGATGAATGCAAGTTGCAATAAATGAGGATAACCTATCAATAAGTTGATTAAATGCTTCCACTTCACTTATCAAATGCAAACATTCACAATAATCAATAATACATTAATATCCACTTATTGCAGTATTATATTATTATAAATAAGCAGAGTATAAGTAATTGATGCATGATCTGTCTTAGTGTGTTTCTTACTTTTCCAAGCTCTTAACAGTGCAATCGATTGCAAAAAATTGGAATGAAGTTAGCTTATATATTGAATTTGGGCTACGCCTCCTTTTTGTAATCAGCCCTTTTTAACGTCCCGCTGCTGGGCACGGGCCTCCCTTAAATAATCAACTATCAAGCCATAGTCCACCACGCTGGCCAAGTGCGGGTTGGCGGACTTCACATGTCTTTCGAAAACTTGCTAAGTTCCCTCAGGCATGCAGGTTTCCTCACGATGTTTTCCTTCACCGTAAGGCAAGTGGTAATCATGCTAGAAATGATTCGCACATGAAAATATCAGAGGTGCGAGACCCGGGATTTGAACCCGCATCACTAAGTTTCTCAAGCGAGCGTGTTACCACTGGGCTACCACTGTCTCCCTTTTATATGTCGTCTTTTTGACGTTTGACTTCAACCACGTCGGCCAATTTCAGTGAGATTAGAAAACTGCGCAGGAGATTTTATAGGGCACAAGTACACTCTGTTCTTTTCGCTTTAAAATTCTGATTTGAAGGTACTTCAAAGGTCGGTTGAGACGACCGGTGGGGAGACCGCCGGCTTTATATGCTCTGTGAAACGTGGGTGTAACATAGCTAACTTCTCTACTCCGAGGTGTTACTGAGTTTAGATTTTTTTTTCGAACCTAGGAACTCTGGATCTGGACACCAAATTCTTAGGTTTTACATATTAGTATACCCTTACATTGCAATTTTTGTATTTTTTCTCAGAAATGAGATATTTTCCCGCGGTAAACACTATATGTTGACCCTGATAACCAGCTATCATCATACCAAATTTTATCGTAATCCCTCCCGTGGTTTTTCTGTGACGCGGTAACAGACAGACAGACCAAAAATTTCAAAAACCATAGATTCGACCTCTGTATCGATAATAATGTTTATTTCAATAAGATTTTTCAAAAAATATCTAATGTACAGATTCGGCTTAGTTACAATTTTATTATATGTATAGATGTATTTGCAATAATTAAATTTCCCTAGTGGCATTTTCCCGAATTAAAGACAGCGCTTTATATTACTTGACAGTTAACAATACAGTGTTATTTATAACATTGTCGTTCACAGTCAGGGCCTATGTACACCACGTATTAAAACGCGCGAATAAAGCATGTATCATAAACGTACCTCATCTGAATTAAATTAAAACATGCACATTGATTCCATGCGTATCGATATAAACGCGCGTCAAGCGCGCGGCGACTATTCGTCGAACGCGAATCATGCGTTATAAATACCACGTGTGCATATGCCTTAGGTTCAGCAACTTGCTGATAATAAATGAATCTGCTCACCGTCTTTATGTATTATTATTACTGGCTTATTAACTTAATCTTGTGTAAACAGTTCTCGTACAATAGAGTGACACAGTTTACACTGGCTTCAATATTTTTTTATTTGCATTGTTACGTCAAAAGTACAGACATACATATAAAGTCGTAGGTATTTGTTTTGTTTTATGATAAAACAAGTAGTTTTATGATTTTATTGACAAATATGTACATATATACTGTTATTGTATGTATGTTTTAGCTATACTAAAGCTATATAACAGACTCGGTGGTCTAGTGTCTAGCATGTACGGCTTTAAAAGGACCTGGGTTCGAGTCCCGGATCGGGCCAAATTTAGTCATTGAGTGTTTTTGTTACGAAAGTCCCGGTAAGAGCCTGAATATGTGAAGTTGGCGGTGTTACACACCCGTGCCTCAGGTACCATGTAAAGTCGGTTCTGAATTCTGATCTCTCGTCAGTCGTGCCGAATTGTCGTCCCATTGGAGACGGCAGAGTGACAGGAATAGAGTGTAATACACTAGTTTATATTTTGATTTGATTATGGAAAAAATAATTATATATAGAATTGATCAATGATTCTGAGGTTTACTTCCTAGTTTCTACATCAAAGCTAACAAACTTTACCCCTTTTTTGTAATATATACATACGTATGTACATACATACATTATACATAAATGAAAATATAAATAAACATTTCTATTTCAGATGGCGACCATGTTTCCATGAAATGCGGCCTTTGGTGCTTATTCGGAATGCTTGTATTTATAGTTGTAGAAAAACTATTCGCCAGTACAGAAGATGATGACGAAGAAGAACCAAAGCAGAACGGTTCCACCAAACATATAGAAATAGAAGAAATAGAAAAACTTCTAAATTTTGAGAGAAATAATAGAGGGAAGGACAAGGGGCAAGGGATTTGTGGTGGTAATGGCTCTGTGACGGCGAAACAACTGTATGATACGTGCGTCTTTAATAATAATACTAAAGGTAATTGTGTGTTTTGATGTATTAAATAAAAATCTCGTGCCAAGGGTGTTTGTGGTCGCACTCCTCCGAAGCGGCTCGACTGATTTTAATGATTTTTTTGTATATTTGGTAGATATGAGAATAGGTCGTGAAGTATTTTTCACCCTCCTACTACCACCCCCCATTTTTTAATCGTAATTTTAGTATATTTGTATGAACAATATCTAAATAATTTAATATTACATAAATACATAGGGGCGAAGCGAGGTTGAGTCGCTGTATAACATAAAGCAAAAAGTTTTTTTTGGAGATTGAACGCGGGTGAAGCCGCGGGTTCTGCTAGTAATAATAATTATAATAACGTAGTCTTCCTTTTCTATTAGTTTCTTACAATATTAAATGAACAATTGTTATATAGAAAAAATCGTGTATCTCGGAAGCGGCTCTAACGATTTGGATCAAATTTTGTATTTAGACAAGGTTTTGCTTTTTAAGTTTATCTATATAGATGTATTTTCTGAAAGACGCGATTTTTTCACAAAATGAAAACATTTTTTTTTATAATTAATTATAATTAGATCCTTTTCCTCTTAGCATTCATGCTGACAATGTCATAATATAGCAACATCTCGTAAATGTTAGTGAGACTTGCATTGTCTCCAAGGGATGATATTCTACTGAATAGTAATAATTGAAGAAGGTTTTTATTAGGTACTTATTAGGTTTTTGTGGTTTCATAACTTAACTGTGGTATTGTTACAAATACTTTACATTTATATTTTTACTTTAAATAATTTTATGTTACAACTAGCATTGCCCGCGTTTTTACTGTGATGCGGTAACATACTGACAGACAGACAAAAATTCTAAAAACTATAGATTCGGCCTCTGTATCGATAATAATGTTTATTTCAATAACATTTCCAAAAATATTTAATGTACAGATTCGGCTCAGTTACAATTTTATTAAATATAAGTTAAGTATATTAATTCATACAGTCCTATGTAATGAAGGCCCCTAGAAATAACACACGTGCGAGGTGTACCTGACTGGCGTAGTTACTTTTATACGACCGTTGGGAAACGCCTTTAGGGTTGACGAAGCCGTTCGTAACAACAATGTTGGTATTTTTGACAACATTTGATTTTGAAAGGATTTTCGTTAAAATCTATTCGGGCGATTGTTTACTGTATGGTTTTTATACTGTGATATTAGTGAGATTGATTACGATGTCATTAATGAATAACAATCACCTTCGCCATTGAATTGAATTGTCCTCAATCAATGAATGTACATGATATTTTGTTATTGTTTAGGTGAAGGCGGCTGTTGTAGCACGATAGTGACGACCACAAACGGCGCAGTACGGTGCAAGGGTAACCGCTGGATGGGACGTTGTCTTCTACGAGAGGCGAGAGAGAAGGCGCAGAAGGCGACAAAGGAGAAGAGTGAGAAGAAAGATGTATGTATATAATGGTCTAATATTTAACGTTGGTCATCGTCAAATGAATCGTCATGTTTAAATTATATTTAAAACGTTTTAAAGTACTAACTTTTGTTTTTGTAGCTCATTAAAGTGTCTAGATTTGTTTTTAAGACTGGTTTTTGAGCAGCATCAAATTTTCATTTGTGATCATGTGAGTTCATATCAAAATCCCACTGAAAAAAGTGCTCAGAGTTTTTTTTTAATTTCTCCATTTTCAAGAAAATGATCAGCTTTTGAGACCCGGACCAAGTGTAGGTATTGGGATTTTCTGTCTAGATATTAAGAATCTCAAATATCACCCAGGATATGGATATTTGGCGGTGTGTTACCCCCGTGCCGGGACACGAAATAGGTTCTGGGGTCGAGTCCCGGGTAAGGCCAAATCTAGTCATTGAGTCGTTCTGTTAAGAGCGTTCCAGTAACAGAAATGATTCGCACATGAAAATATCACAGAAATGAGACAGTGGTAGCGCAGTGGTAACGCGATCGGGAAACCGAGTGAAGTGGGTTCAAATCCGGGTCTCGCAACTCTGATTTCATCTATAGCATTGTCTATCCCAGGTAGCCGGGTACCTGAACCTGATGGCGAACTCCATAGACAACTTCACGCACGGGCTGGCCGTGGGCGGCTCCTTCCTCGTGGGCTTTCGCGTGGGCTTGCTCACCACCTTCGCTATACTCGGTATGTAGCGCTCACGCTTGACCGGATTTGTCGACACGTTTGCTCAGTTTGTAGTTACCCTACTTACTGTGGCAGCGGTCGCGGGTTCGAGTCCCGCAGGGGGCATTAATTTGTGTGATGAGCACGAATGTTTGTACTCCAGTCATGGATTTTTATATGTATAATATGTATGTATTAAATGTTACATATGTGTAGTGTATCAACTATCTGGTATCCATAACACAAGCCTAGTAGCTTACCATGGAACTAGATCGTGCTGTGTGTTAATGTCCCAATATTTTTTTTTTGACCGAATTTGAAAAAGGAGAATGTATATTTATATGACTATTATTATAAAGGCGACGATTGTTTGTGCGTTACACGCACAGACAATCAAATTAATGAATATGATTAATAATGTTAATCATTATTGAGTATATTAATTAACTAACAATTTTTTTGATTATGATTTTAATCATTAATTTTTAATGGTTAATTAATCACATGAACTTTGGATCAACTCAGATGCTTGTGTTTGTATTTTTCAGGTTGAAACGTCTGGACGGATTTAGGTGATATTTAGTAGAGTGGAGTTACCTAAACGTTACCCGTTATAGTAGGGGAGCCCAAGAGGGGATTTTTGTAGTTACTCAAGCGCGGCAGATTAGCAAAAATCGACTATAAAGTTTATGATGATTTTTGCCTCTTAGGCTTGTGCAAATCGGCAGATTATTAAATTGGACACTTTTCAGGATGTGACTAGCCTACCACACCTTAATCTGACGGTTTCAAGTATTTCTACCTTATCAAAACATTTTTTAAATATTTTAATCGGCTTCCCTAGACGCGCCCCTTTATATAGAAGACTTATATTGTGGTGAAAGTACTCAATAGAGTGCAAGGTAACCTCTTTTATGTTAATCTGCCGCGCTTGAGTAACTACAGAAAATCCCCTCTTGGGCTCCCCTACTATTAAAACGTTATTATATTAGTGAGCAAAAATAAAATTAAAATAAAAGTTTACATTAAGTAACAACAACTTATAAAAACAAAAAAATGAGTTTTTTTCTTTATCACAATAATAATCAATTATAATATTAATTAAATAAATCTAAAAAATAATATCATAAAAATATTAATTATTAATAATAATAGATTAAAGAAACTATATTTTTTACTTTTAGTTCACGAAATTCCACACGAAGTAGGTGATTTTGCTATTTTACTCAAGAGCGGGTTCTCAAGATGGGAGGCGGCTAAAGCTCAACTGGTAAGTGTTTCTTTATAATATTTATTTATCTCATAGTGTCACGTCCATTTGTCATAGTGAAGTTAGTTATAAAGCTGGTTTATCGGAGATTCGAATCCCGTGGGATTTGTTTTAATTTTATAGACAGCTAGCGTTTGTCCGCGGCTATGTTCGCTGTTTATGTATAATTATTTATCAACCGACTTCAAAAAGGAGGAGGTTCTCAATTCGACTGTATGTTTTTTTTTATGTTTGTTACCTCAGAACTCCGTCATTTATTAACCGATTTGGACAATTTTGTTTTTGTTGAAAGGGTATACTTCCAGATTGGTCCCATTTAAATTTCAAAAAAAAAATACCACCCCTAAGGGTGGAAAAACAACTAATGATGAATTTAACCTACTTCTAATGTCATATTGACTTAAAAACTTTGCAAGTATTTCTATTTCCGTTGATAGTACAGTGGTTCGGTGTTGGTTGACCTGATCTGATGGCAAGGCCAGAAGGTGGATAGGTGGAACTCTTCAACGGCTAATAGTAGATACTTTGAGTTTGGGCTTATTTTGTTTGATTTGACAAGCCTAACACGTTAGAATCCTTACTTTGCTACTACTGTCTACACTAAAAAGGTAAAAATAAAAACTTTTTAACAAAAAAATAAAAACCGACTTCAAAAAAATCACTAAAAAGTAAAAAATAACTGATTGGTAGTTTTCATTTACTATACATACCTAATCAAATATTTTCGAAATCGGTGCCAGCCCATACAAAGCAAAGCACACCGACTTCGAAAATATTTATAGGTATGTATAGTAAATGAAAACTACCAATCAGTTATTTTTTACTTTTTAGTGATTTTTTTTGAAGTCGGTTTTTATTTTTTTGTTAAAAAGTTTTTTTTATAAGTGGAGACTCTTATTTTAATAACAAAGCTTTATTTTAAAGATATATAGATAAAATATATTTTTTCGGTTTAATTAAATTAAAATGTGTACATATTTAATACCAATAGAATTAAATTTTAAAAGTCAATAATTGTGTATTAAAAGAGTCTTTCGCGCTTCAATACACATTTGGCTCAGTTTGTAGTAAACGTACTTGCTTCGTCAGCGTTCGCGGTTCGAATTCCGCTGGGAATTCATTATGTGATGATCACGAATGCTTATACTCCTTTATAGTTATATATGTGTAGTGTATCAACTGTCTAGTATCCATAACACAAGCCTCGTAGCTTACCATGGAACTAGATGGCGCTGTGTGTTAATGACCCAACATGTTCAAACATAGCTTATTTCTATATGTTATTATTGTGTTGCAGGCGACGGCTTGCGCCGGTCTGATCGGCGCCATGACAGCGGTTATATTCAGCGGCGCTCGGAATGCGATAGGTGAGAGTTTTTTTAATTAATATATTCTTTACTAGCGACTCCCTGACGTTTTAAAAAGATAGACATTTTTATTCTTAGTGTACCTTAGGAGATAAACACATGTCATTGGGGACTTTATTTTAGACCTTTTTAAGGCCTAAAATTTTCTAGTACATTGTATTGATGTATCTTTAAAGGTTTAGCCAGCGTTAGCGATCTCAATTTCTAAGGACGACTGGACAGAACCAAAAAAAGGTATCCTAAATAAATAAGTTATCACTACACAAAATTTAGTTAAAATCGATTCAGTAATTTTTGCGTGAAAAACGTGAACACAATACGTAGCAGTCATTATTTTTAAAAAACTATTTCCTATACAGATTTTGCTAAGTTACCATTTTATTATGTGTAGAGATTACGTTTAAAGAAGAGAGATATATGTATGTACAAATATAAATTAAAAAAAAATCCTCACTAAAGATGGAACAAATATGCTTATATTGTGTTCTTAATACATACACGTATAATGGATAAGTAATTTTGAAGTTGGTCCAAACACACAAAAATCACTACAGTTTTTGATGAAATTTGGTATGATCAAATTGAGATGATACGATAGGGTTATCCGGGTCAACATATAGGATACTTTTTACTGCGGGAAAATATCTCATTTCTGAGAAATCTATACTAAACGTTAAAACGTATATAATATTATTAGTAATCCATACATATAATAAAATTGTAACTAAGCCGAATCTGAACATTAAATATTTTTTGGAAAATCTTATTGAAATAGACACTATTATCGATACAGAGGTCGAATCTATAGTTTTTCGAATTTTTGTGTGCCTGTCTGTTACCGCATCTCGGAAAAACCACTAGAGGGATTTTGATGAAATTTGGTATGATGATAACTGGTTATCCTGGTCAACATATAGGATACTTTTTACCGCGGGAAAATCTCTAATTTCTGAAAAAAAAATACAAAAACTGCAATGTAAAAGTATACTTATATGTAAAACCTAAGAATTTGGTTTCTGGTCATATGACCGCAGACGGAGCCGCGGGCAATGCTAGTATTTTATAAGTTTATGTCAGTGGTTAAAATTCGTCAAGTTCGAATCGTTCATTAGCAGTTTCTTAAAAGTACTAAGTATTATTTTTATTACAGAAGCAAAAACCTCTTGGATAGTTCCGTTCACGGCGGGCGGGTTCCTCCATATTGCGTTAGTCACCGTGTTGCCGGATCTACTGCGGGAGCAGGACAAGATGGAGTCTCTCAAACACCTCGCCGCGCTCATATCCGGCATTGTCGTCATGGCTTTCATGACGCAGTACTTTTGATAAGTTAATGATATTCGTTTTAGTGTTGCCAGGTGGTAATTTCAAAAGTGACAGTGTTGCTAGGTGTCAATTCGTAATTTTAATATTTGAAAAAAAAGTCTTATTTATACATAAATATTCAGGCAACCTTAGAGATTAAATTTCAAAATTAAATCATAATATTTTTTTTAGGTAAAAGCAACACTCACAATACACTTAATTTAAAAAATGTATATTTTATCAATTTTTGATGTAAGTGAGACAGTCCAAAACGGACAGTCAAAGTATTATATGTAGATTTCAAATTATAAACAATATAAGTTTAGATGTAAGTCTGTACGTGAGTTTCAAGGAAACTACGAACTTAATACTCCACTAATAAACTTAATTGTAAATTTTGTCACAGACTATTTGAAAAAAAAAACGTGCGATTTTATTTTTAGTTATATTTAATATCATTCCCTTAAAGAAAAAAAAATGTATACTTTTTGAACATGTAGCATCCGAAACGAAAATATTTTTCGTCTCGTAGCTGACCCATAAGCTCAAGATGTGAAATCCACGGGAAAATTTCCCGTACTTCTCAGAATTTTTTAATTTACCTATAAAAATAAGTTCTCAAAAACATATTAAGTGATGTTTGTTCTGAATTAAGAATAATAATATTTGTATACACAGAACCAGTTATTTTTAAATTAGTTACACGTATCTGTATCTCGTACACACGTAAGACGTATATTTTACCAGCCCCTGTGATTTCTATTAATTCAATGTCATACAAAAATAATGAACGCAAAATAAACGAGAATTTACCAAAGTCGTTAAATTACCGACAACATTGACAATATTTCAAATTAAAAAAGCTTCTATTTATTTGTTTTTGAGAAGTTATTTATTTATAGGTAAATGTAAACATTCTGAAAAGTACCTACGGGAAGTTTTTCTGTGAATCTGAAAACTTGACCTTAATTCAATTCAAGGGTCAGCTACTGGAAAGTTTCCCGTAGACGTAGACCCGTAGATCGAGTAGTGGCGTGCTTTTCCTTATTAGATACATTTAAACTGTTTTTTATATTTTATTATATGCAAAGAAACTTTATATGAGCCATATATAAATATCTTTTTTTCTAGACAGACTAAGATATCTGTTTTAACTTAATGATTGTATTCAGCCCTTTTTCACGTCCCACTGCTGGGCACGGGCCTCCCTTCAGTACGAGGGGAATCAGGCCATAGTCCACCACGCTGGCCAAGTGCGGGTTGGCGAACTATACATGTCTTTCGAAAACTTGCTAGGTTCTCTCAGACATGCAGGTTTCCTCACGATGTTTTCCTTCACCGTTAAGACAAGTGGTAATCATGTTGGAAATGATTCGCGCATGAAAATATCAGAGGTGCGAGACCCGGGATTTGAACTCGCTTCACTCGGTTTCCCAAGCGAGCGCGTTACCACTGGGCTACCACTGCCTATAACTTAATGATTATAGAATTATAAATAAAACACTTGCAGTGTACACTTTTAATGGAAAAACAAATACATGTCTAAAAGAATGTGAATAAAGAAAATAATTTAAATATGTTAAGTGAGATCATAATGAATAGATGATTATGATACTAATTTCCAGCGAAACTTTGCACTTACTCAAAAATATTCATAATATTTTGTTAGATTAACGCAAATATTTCACATTTTAAATGAAATTATCTTTTCGGATTTTCGGTCTTACCCGTGACCATGATTGCTGTAAAGCATTCGAAACGTCGGGAAACAAATTTTGAAAAAAAAAATCGCGAAAAAATCCGAAAATATTGTTTTATTTTTAATATCCACTCCACGCTGCTTCAATGCGATTGCTTAAGACTTAAAAAAAAACATTAAAAATTCTAAAACTAACTAATACTTTTAAGGCAATAGAAAGTAATACAATTCATATTGTTGTGATACTTTCTTAGTTAAAATAAAAATGGCGGGTTGGCTAATACCGGCCTCCTTAAAAATATGTTCGAAACTATTAAACAGCTTAGTTTGGAAATCATTATCATCTATTTATTTTTACAATATAATTTAAGCGTTTTGTTACAATTATCAACTTTATTCAACAATTTTAATAGCATAAGTGATTGAAAGTCATTGTTTTAAAGAAAATCAAACTCGAATGCCATACATTGTATATAAAATGTAAATAAATTAGGGTTCAAATAGTTTTAGTACAAACCACTTTGATGTGATAGATATTTAGTTTTAGTAAGATTTTATTCAAGTCATTATTTTATGCTGCTTTACAATGTGACATCATGTATCATTTAATCAAGTAATAAATGAAAAGGGAGGTTTTGTTTTTTAGTAATGGAAAATGTGAACAAATCAATGAATTCAAGGCGAGATTTAGACTAATACTTTGCAATGGTGCCGTTGAATTTTATATTTGTTGCTGTAAAATATACGAGATGTTGGTAAATCTTAGTTTTAACTTGTATATCTTTGGATTTACTAACATGAGTTGATAAATGTAAGGATTTTATAAAAAAGAGACGATCTTTCGGGCTTTTACTAAACTCTGATGGGAAAAACCCGAAATATCGTGTACTTATTATAAAATCCTTACATTTACCAACTCATGTTGATAAATCCTAAGATTTACCAATATACGGGCTTTTACAGTAACATAATAAACATTGCACGAGATTGTACATTAATGTATAAAGTGTTTTTTATGCATCTTTATACATGATACTGTTCTGGTGTCTAAAAGTTATATTCAAATATTATTTTGTAAAAAACTTTTCTTTTACCCGCGATTATAGAAATTGTGGAAGTTATTATTTTCTTATAATTTTTAAGCAATAATTTGTATTTTAGCTATTCATAAAAGTGTGATAAACAATGCCATTTATAAGTATTGTACCGTGTAATATTCTATATGAAATGTTAAATAAACGAAATATTTACACTATATTTGTGGTTTTTATTGTTTAACGAGTTTTTCGTGCTGTCAAAGTACTTATACTTTATAGTATTTTGAATGCTTGTAGAATGGATAGTTATAGAGAAGCACTTGCACCACAAATAGAACTAGTACTTACTGATTTTTCAGTCATCAAGATTAGGGTTTGATTTAATAATAGTCATTTTCCTTTAAAGATTGTTTAAACTCAGAATATTTTCCTTCTAGGAACCATATTTTTTCCCGTCATTAATAGCAAATAGAAACATAACGCCATCTATTGATATTTATTGGAATTTTTTCTTTATAAAATAGTAGATTTTAATGAGCCATACTTAGTCTGGAAATGTATTAATTTAAATATCAAGATTTAAGAAGCAAAATCAAAACATAGTTGTATTTCCACTCTTTTTCCATATAAAGCATGCACTGATTCTAACGTGCGTAGGTATGTTTAATTACAAGACAACAATCTTAATCGCAGCTGCATAAACACTGCTGTATATTTAAAAAAGAAAAAGAATTTAAATAAATACGTAGTATTATATAACAAACTAGCAGAACCCGCAGCTTCGCCAGTAATAAATCTAAAAAAATAAACTGGCTTTATATTATAGCGACTCAGCCTCGCTTCGCTTGGGTACGTCCCTATGTATTTATATAATATATACAGTTTTCCAATAATGTATTGAAGTTGCCAGATTTGTTGACATTTAAGATTACCGCTCCCTTGGGTAGTAGCATGATGATATATAGCCTACTAGCGGCTCATCCTCGCTATGCTCAGGTTCGCCTCTAGGATAACAAACCTATCCCACGCGAACCGTACATTTTCCGGGATAAAAAGTAGGCTATATGTTATTCCAGACTATGATCTATCTCTGTGCCAAATTTCATCCAGACCCGTTCAGCCGTTCTGACGTGAAAGTGTAACAAACATCCATACTCATAAACATTTACATTTATAATTTTAGTATAGATAAGCCTTCCTCAATAAACGGGCTATCTAATACAAAAATTTTTTTTCAAATCGAATTAGTAGTTTCTGAGATACAAACAAACTCTGCCTCTTTATAATATTAGTATAGATATGTTTTTTTTAAATAAAACTAGTAAGTGCTCCAATAGCGTATATTTTCAAAGTTACATAGGATTAGAATCCTCACATTGCTTACCTAATAGAAAAAACTGTTCAAAATCACTTTTCAGCTTAAATAGTCCAAATCCTTATCCAAATATCCAAATAATAATCCAAATTAGTTTTGTAAGGATAACTCACAATTTCACCATAAAAATATGAACGCTCTTATTCTTCAGTAATTTCTGCACTTACAACCTTAAAAAGCCAAAATATAATAATAAAATGTAATTACAGAGCTTCAACGCTCTTCATCATATAACAGAGTGATTAGTGATTTTGTCGCTTATAAATTGAGTGGTCACTTTTCTGTATACATCATACTGTGACGTCACGCCAAACGCGCGAAATGGCGGGCGTTAAATAACTATATATATATATATATATATATATATATATATATATATATATATATATATATATATGATGAATGATATTTTTTTTTAATACTAAATTTTAGTTTTTTGGAGCTGGATATTTTGTTTACATTTATATAACGATGTAAGCTATCGTATAAAAAATAAAAAAAATCTCGCATATTACCTATTGATCATGTTATGGAACATACATTTCCATGTCAGCTCCAATGTGAGGATTCTTTATTATATACTTACTACCTCTTTTAAATGCGAAGATAAACTACAAATGTTATATATAAATATTAAAATAGACAGAGCGATTTTAAACAGTTTCAAAAGGAACCAATACATATTTTATGTACAAAGAAAAGTTTACACTTACTAAAAAGGTGATTCAATTCTTTGAGTTTTATGAATAATACGTTAAAATAAGTTTTTTTTTGAAATAACCTTTAAAAGTACCATACATTGGACAGTCTTAATAGACCAGGGTAGAAGCGTTTAAAAATAATAAAAAGTGAAAAAAAAAAAATAGTAGACCTTAAAAATAATAGTGACCCTTCCCGACCTCAGATCGCCCGTAAATTATTTTTCCTTTCATTTTTATAATATTCCCCTCCTTTTCTAATGGGTTTCATCCTACTATTATTTTTTTTGGTTTTAAAAATTATCGACCCTGGTCTATAAGTAATTACATTACAGTGTAATATTGTACAACTCATAAATCGATCAAACTTACATATGATACTTTCTGGAATAATAAGTCTTTATAGAGCTTTTCAAATAATTCCAAATTTAAGAAAAAATCGCCCAATCTGTCTATCAACAAGTTGACTTACAATGGAGAAGTTTTTATGTATTAACTAGCATTGCCCGCGGCTTCGCCCGCGTTCAGATGACCAAAAACCAAATTCTTAGGTTTTACATATTAGTATACTCTTACAATGCAGTTTTTGTATTTTTTCTCAGAAATGAGATATTTTCCCGCGATAAAAAGTATGCTATATGTTATACCCGCATAACCAGCTATCATCATACCAAATTTCATCAAAATCCCTCCAGTGGTTTTTCCGTGATGCGGTAACAAACAAGACAGACAAAAATTCTAAAAACTATGGATTTGGGCTCTGTATCGATAATAATGTCTATTTCAATAAGATTTTTCAAAAAATATTTAATGTAAAGATTCGACTTAGAATTTTATTATACATATGTATAGATTGTAGGCACATTGTATTAAAATGTGTGTATATAGACACACATTTTTAATACTTTTCTATTATTGATTAAGACCTTTTTAATAGCCTTTTATATTAATAACGTCTTTGACAGATTTTAGAAAAAAAAAGGAAGAGGAGTAACATTAAAGAGTGAATGATTTTTATTTCTATTTTAAATCAAATAGATTAAATAATCCTTTATTGCTGCCATATAATTATAAAAAATATGTAAAATATAACAAAAATACGAAAAAATATTAAAATATCTCAACAAATGAAAAAGTTATGAAACTTTACAATTGCGCTTGTATGAATGATTTTGTGACGTCACACGACAAAGGACCTTCAAATTAATTTCTCAGTCATTTATTGATAGATTTCAAAAAAAATCACTGATTTATTAGTTTTCATCTGTATTATAATTCCATTGCGTTAAATATGATATTAACATCAGAACTTCGCCATTATAATAATGCTTACAACTAAAAAAAATACAATTGTTCTTTATTCTTAACAGAGATTCTGACAAATGTAGTTTAAAATTTGTTTTTTTTTTTGAAAGTAAAGAAAGCAAGTTACATAATACATAGGTATTATAAAGTATAAGAGTATAAATGATAAGTAATTTTAATTAATATGTTATGTTTAGTGTGTTTGTATATACGTGTGTATGTTTACATAACGTAGACTTTCTCTACGCGGTCCATACTGAACACTTCCTTCGTTTTCGGGCAAATTATTGATCCGTGTTCCTTCACCATTTCTTTTAGGGCCTGAAATTAATATTTAAAGAATTAAAACATTATACATAAATAAATATGTTAGGACATAGCACCATCTAGTTCCATGGTAAGTTACGTGGCTTGAGTTATGAATACCAGATAGTTGAATCACTATACATATATAACTTTAAATATAAACACCCATGGCTGGAGTACCTGCAAACATTCGTGCTCATCACACAAATGAATGCCTCTAGCGGGACTCGAACCCGCAACGGCTCGCACAGCAAGTAGGGTCACTACAAACTGAGCCAAATGTGTCGTCTACAATCTACATACATAGTAGGTATATATTATATACTTATAAGTAATTATAATAATTATTATTTGATGTCACGTCGGTTGATTGTAAGTCTTGGATTTGTCTGTAACGTTATGTAAATACACACATACACGTGTGTTCACGAAGGTATATGTAATATCTACATTTTATGATAAAACAACATCTAGTTGTAAAATTAGTGAGTAAAATTTCATTTTATTAATTCATGAGTGAACATTTTTTTTGTGACTATAAAGTTTTAAAGTTATATTTGTTACTAGCATTGCCCGCGGCTCCGCCTGCGTTTAGATGACCAAAAATCAAATTCTTAGGTTTTACATTATACTCTTACATTGCAGTTTTTGTATTTTTTCTCAGAAATGAGATATTTTCCCGCGGTAAAAAGGATTCTATATGTTGACCCGGATAACTAGCTATCACCATACGAAATTTTATCAAAATCTCTCCAGTGGTTTTTCCGTGATGCGATAACAGACAGACAAAAATTCTAAAAGCTATACTTTCGGCCTCTGTATCGATAATAATGTCTATTTCAATAAGATTTTCCAAAAAATATTTAATGTACAGATTCGGCTTAGTTACAAATTTTATTATATGTATGGACAAGAAGTAAAATGATCATCTTATTAATTGAAACCTAGACGATTTGTTAAATAAGTTAAATGTGATGTCATTCTTGTTTTGATTTTTGAATGGTAATGTTTGGTCATAACTATGTCAACAATTATATAGAATGTGAGACATGACTTTTTAGTACAAGAGTTTAAATTAAAAGAAAAACAGTTAACGTAGCCAACGGATACCCTCTAAGTATGCTATGTATGAAACGATGAATGAACTCACCTTCTCCCCGTAGACCTGCCCGTTGGGCAGCACCATCGGGTGGTTGTGCTCGTTGAGCGGCAGGCGCGAGATGCGGCACAGCAGGCGCGAGTGCGAGCAGTGCGCGTGCGGCAGCGTGGCGGCCAGCGCGTCCAGCGGCGGCGCGCAGGCGGGGCAGGCGGGCGCGCGCGCCGCGCCGGGGCCCGCGCACTGCGGCGTGTTCAGCGCCGCCAGCCCCAGCTGCAGCGCCGCCGGCAGCGCCGCCAGCCGCGCCGGGTGCAGCAGCCGCGCGTGCGACACGCGGAACTGCACCACCAGCGCCGGCCACCGTGACGGCGACAGCAGCGACTTGTACGGCTCCACCTCTGCACCACACGCGACATATTTAAATTAATCTGTACTATACACTATTCACGGAGTGGACCATGCAAAGCGCTTTCTCTATCCCACATTACCATACAAACTGATAAGGACAAAAAACTGTCTAGCTCCGCCCGCTACACTTGCAACTGGTTTAAAATCATAGGGCTCGTTCATGTTGCTAATACTTTAATGAGGATTCATTAATTTGTTATAAAAAAATCAACATACAAATAAAATCAACATTAAAGTCAAATTAACTGTATTTTTAAATATTTGTATTGATTAAATATTAGTTTCGACTTTCCGACGTATCACTGTCATCTCCTAAATTGATAATAAATCAAGTAACTACACGAGAGACGTCTGAACGGTACGAAATGCAACGACGGACTAATTATGACTTGGATTGTAATCGCGGCCTAAGCGTCTTATCTACAACTAAACACGTGGAAGCGCTAAATCTCAGTGCTTGGTTCATTCATTGGCGAATACAGTATTATAATAGTATAAAGAGGCAAAGTTTGTTTGCAAATACGATTTGAAACATTCTTTTTGCACTAGATAGCCCAAATTTGGGGCTAACAGTAGCGGGACAGCGTTTTGTAGGACGCGCACTAATTATTGTCAATTTCCATAATATACATTTTTTACTTATCATAGTAAATATGTAATATATTATACAATACCAACATTTAAATATTATTTATATTCATATTTTTATATTTAAAAACTTATTGTTTTTAATAAAAATCATTAATTATATTTGGCAATAATTTATTTTATTATTAAAAAAGTAACTATAAATCCAAAAACTAGTGAATTACTTGATTTTATACAAAACTAGCATTGCCCGCGACTCCGCCCGCGTTCAGATGGCCAAAAACCAAATTCTTAGGTTTTACATATTAGTATACTCTTACAATGCAGTTTTTGTATTTTTTCTCAATAATGAGATATTTTCCCGCGGTAAAAAGTATCCTATATGTTGACCCGGATAACCAGCTCTCATCATAACAAATTTCATCAAAATCTGTTCAGTGGTTTTCTCGTGATGCGGTAACAGACAGACGGACAGACAGACAGACGGACAAAAATTCTAAAAACTATAGATTCGGACTCCGTATCGATAATAATGTCTATTTCAATAAGATTTTCCAAAAAATATTTAATGTACAGATTCGACTTAGTTACAATTTTATTATATGTATAGATGACTGCACTAAAGTGTATCACTAAAGCAAATTGCAAGATAAAACAAGTTTCAGTGTTTGAAAAACGATTCCAGCACCGCCATCTAAGAATACACAGTACAAACTTATGGAACCAATCATCAGTATAATAAAGAAAATTAAAACTCATTTTCTTCATTTTTTAAGATCAAGATATTCTTTATAATGTTACACAAACATTAGTATCCAATATATATATATGACGCCATCTATTGACATTAATTTGAACTATTTTTCATTGTCAATGAAACTATCAGTATGTTATTATTAAAATTAAAGTAGATATAATTCAGATATACCAGTGTCCTTAGGGAAGGCTAGCATGCCCATACAATGCTGTATGTCCTCTAACTGGCCCTCCTCGTAAGCTGAGAAGTGTTTCTTCGCGTACCGCACCGCCTCCAGACGCTTATCTTCACGCACTAGCTCTATGAACTCCTGGGAAATAGAAATACACATTAAACAATATATAATTTGATGAATGTTTTAATAAAATAAATTGATTATTTTTATATAATGTATGAGGGAATGGTAGCACAGTGGTAACGTTTAGGAACGAGTGAAGCGAGTTCAAATCCCGAGTCTCGCACTTCGACACTCCGACACTGTGACACTCAGACATTTAGACACTTGACACACAGACGCTCGACACTCAAGACACTCTGACACTACGACACACCGATAGGCGATAATCCGACACACCTATACTCCTGCCCTCCCACACACTAACACTCTGACATTGACACACTTACAATCAGACACTCTAACTCTCTGACACTCTGATAATCACACACTCATACCCTCTAACACAAAGATACACAGACTGTCGTTCAGAGCGTCGGAGTATTGGAGTGTTTTATTACTTCAGACCAAGAAGTTGTTAACATCACATGTTGACACCACTTTGTGGAGAATTATTTGATAGGAAATGCGTATCTATATTTTTACATATCAATGATTATAACTAAAGCGTCTCGATACGATGAGAATAAGTTTAAGTGTAGAAGCGACTTCTCGGAGACACTACATAAGTAATAGCTTACTTCATATACTCATACATTCGCTAAGGCTAATGAGTTTATAAGGTAGTGAATGAAACAGTTAGTTAATAAACAAATGAGTTAGTCGAAGAATAAGTAAATTATTTTGTGAATGAGTTTACTTAATAAGTGATATAGTTAATGAATATATGAAATAGTTAATCATTGAGTGAATGAGTTAGAGTTTGAGAGTAAATCATGGGTGCGAGCGTGGTAGTCATGATATAACTTGCAGTCGTCGATCAAAAAAGTACTAGATACACAATCCCATGCAAAAGTTCTCTTGAAACTGTCACCAATTGTGTTTAGGTAATTATTCTAATTGAAATAAATTTATAACAATGTAAATTGAACCCTAAATGCGATATTTAAAGTTGTTTACACAGAAAAATATTGAAAACGCGCTCAAATGTTCAAATGAGCGCTGATTCGGCGAGGACATTTTTGGCCCTAATCTAGTACTTTTTTGGATCGATGCTTGCAGTAATATAATCAAGCCACTAAACAAATGAAAGTGAGTGAATAAGCTATTCAGTCAGTGAGTGTACCTGTATGCGTATGTTGAACTCCATGGTGGAGTTGAGCTTGCGCAGCTTGGAGCGGTTGTCGGCGCACCACTGCAGGCAGCGCGCCGTGCGCCGCGCCGCCAGCTCGCGCTCCACCTCCGCCGCCGCCATGTAGATGTCTGCACGCGACGGACAGACATACGTACGTACATACAGACATTATATATAAAATTAGTCGGGAGAATGACATCACATATTTAAATGTTTAGACTTGTCGTTCAAGCTGTTTGGCTCTAGTGTCTAAGAAAAACTTTTAATATACACATTGACAGTGTATTTCTAATGGGTTGGAAAGAATGTAATTTTGTTGTTCATATCGGTCACCAGTTGACAGAATTGTTTGATTCGTTTTTTTTTTGGAAAATTTAAAATTCTTTTTTTTTAAATAAATAAATTTAGTGTAATTTTCGACACATTCTATTTTTTTATTAAGGCAATAAACCACCTGAAGCTCAGAAAACGTATGTGAAATGTAGGGTTTTGATTGTCCAACAGAACGCACATGTCGTAATCGGTTTAAAAAATCGCCCTGGAAATTCTTCACTAAAAGATTACCATCGTTGTCTGACTTCCGAAATAGATAGGCCACAATAAAACCGAATCGTCCTAAAACTGTGAAAGAGATTACAAAACAGTATAATGTATCACATACAACAATTAGAAATCGTATAAGAAGTCTTCGACTTGTTAAAAAGCCCCACAAAGAAGATATTTCGTTTCCTCATGAACTGAAAGAAAATCGCTTAATACAACGACTTAACATTTGTGATACACTGTACACAGTTCAAACGTACTTAATGAACTCGACCCTTTTTTTAAACGAATTATCACTGACGATGAAAAATGGATCGTCTATCTAAAAAGACTATGGTCCAAGCATGACAAAATAATACAAACCGTATCTAAATCTGAATTCCATCAGAAAAAGATCATGCTATCAATTTAGTGGAATTAAAAAGGTTTATTATTATTATTATTTATTATTTTAAGCGGCTTACAAGCAACCGAACGATAACTCAGAAATAAATTATGAAATTGGAGGAAGCAATCGAAGAAAAAGGCAAGAATTGGCAAATCGCGAGGGAATCGTTTACCATCTCTTTGCCATTAAGACCATTTACAGATTAAAAATTAAAAACTTAATATTTATACACATCAAAAAAATCACTGAAACAAAAATTACAACATTTATAAAATTTACTTCCATAAGAAACATATATTAATTTTAGGTGTCGATAGAAAAAGTGAACAAACAAAATACCTATAGGTTTATAAAAAGGCGACTTACCAACATTTGTCAAATCTCTAAGATCCCGTGCATCTGCCAGTTTATTGGCAGAATCGTAATATCCGTTGCGTAGAAAGTAATCTACTAGCATCCTGTCCAATCGCACTTTGCGCCATTGATTCATTTGCGTCTGAAAGTAAAAAAAAAAGTTAATTAATACATGATGTTCGAAAAACATGTGAAGTCTACCAACCAGCACTTGGCCAGCATGGTGAACTATGGTCTGATCCCATCGTATTGAAGGGAGGCCCGTGCCCAGCAGTGGGACGTTAAAAAGGGCTTAATACTAATACTACAAATACTATATGATACGCGGTAACTAAGGGAAATGGAGTAAGACAGTGACAGACAGAATGCGGGAAAAGAAGTCGCCCGTTATCAGGCAGATTCAACAATTCCACCCTTTCGAGCACTTAGCTCTTGCGCTCCACTCTGGATGGCCAATAAAGGCAAGCCAGAGGCAGGGAACTGATGTTGTTTCCCCAGGTAGATCTCAAGCCTGTGGAGTCGCTTATTATTAATACATATAATAAAATTGTAACCAAACCGAATCTGTACATTAAATTAAATATTTTTTTTGGAAAATCTTATTGAAATAAACATTATTATCGATACAGAGGCCGAATCTATAGTTTTTAGAATTTTTGTCTAGTTTTTAGAACTGCAATGTAAGAGTATACTAATATGTAAAACCTAAGAATTTGGTTTTTGGTCATCTGCAATGCTTGGCAATGCTAGTTATTATATAGAATAGGTATATTATAAATTAAAGTTCCACATTACGCTGAGCACGTCTATCTTGGGACAAATATCAGAAACTACTGTACGAATTTTCATATGGTTTTTACTAATAGAAAGAGAGAAGGAAATAATCCCTACGACGTTGTTGTAGTGTCATCTTTTCTTAACTTAAATTAACTTAATAAATTATTATAATCAATTTCTCTTTGGAGATTTGAGATGAAAATTGAAACCGTGTTATAGTTACCTTAGCTTGAGGTGCATTAGGGTCAGCAAGTGCTTCAGCCTGCTCCTTAAGATGTTCCAGGCGTTTCTTACATACAAATGCAGCTTGGACCTCTTCTGTTATTGCTTCTGATGCTTTTCGCTTCATTGTTGTTAGCTTCTCAACCTGAAATTATAAAAAGAAATATATATTTAAATGTAATCCCTTAATGATAGATCCTTTAAAGTTAATTAATGACAAGTGAAATTATTATTCTTAATTAGCATTAAAATAGTTATCTTAAAAAAAGCCATTTTAAAGAAAAAAAATATACCAATAGAAAAGTAAATTATTATAACAATTAAAGAAATTATAACAAAAAAATATTCTTTTTTAGTAGTCTATTGACTGGTAAAGTCATAGTATTCCTACAATCAAATTTAATTTCTTATTATATTATATATAATATACATTATCAAGTTCAATAATTATAACATACAAATAATCTAAGAATTATAACATAATTCAAGACAAGACAGAACATAAATGTCAATGGTAAATCATTAATTAATTCCTTTAAAAGTCTCAAAATCATTTCCTAATGGTATAGTTGTTACTATAAAAATATATATACATGTAAGTCTTCTATAAGCTTCAGTTTTAACCATTTCCGAAACTGTTTGTTAAAGTTGATGTTGATGATATTGTATGTAACATCATGATTTTTATATACATCAAATATCTTACCATTCCACCAAGTAGTGAGTCTATTTCAGCGGCTGTAGCACCTTTCTTGGTTACTGTGTCAATATCACTCACAGACGAAGCTACTTGTCTAGCTTCAACATCTAACACCCTCTGAGCATTTCTGTATCTTTTGTTGAAAATTTCATATGGAACCTATTTTTTCATTAAGTACACAATTAAATATTGTATTATACAACAAGTAAATACAAGTTGATAAAACAATTAATTTGTAAAAAAGAGGTAAGGATGCTTTTCTATAAATGTAATAAATTGGAATCAATATTTTATTATATTTTCATGTGCTTATAAAAAAATTAAGCCTTAACCATCATTAACTATTAATTACACCGCTTACTTTATATTCTGAAAACCAATTATAAATAAAGTAGCTAACTTGCAATAATGCAAATGATTTTCTCAAGTTTTTAAAACTAAAACAAAGAGTAAAAATCTACAAACAATGTTTTAAAAGTCTTAAATCATCAATATAAAGGAAAGAAAAAGTGAAATACGATTTACACTTACCTATATTTAATACTTGAAATATGATATCAAATAAGATTTTTGCATACCTTCAAAGTTGGGTGTTCTAGAGATTTTATTTCATTCATTGCAGATATTTTTAGTTACTTCTCAGAATAAAAATGGTTACACGCCTCAGACACGGACACCTTAATAATGAAAACAAAACTCAGCTGATTAGCTGTTGCTGTTGACTACACTACAATAAATATAACAAATAATAACAATAGAAAATAATATCAATGTTTACAATTCTTGCAGAGTTTTCTATATTACGAACAGCTGTTGTAAGTACTAAATAAAGTAATTTTTTGATATGAGAAAAAAGAAAAAATCTAACTCAATCTAGACATAGGCAAGGAACAAATTCGTATTCCGTCAACGTAGAGAAGACGTAGGTCATTCTGGTAATACTTATCTGTTGTAATTTTCATTATGTTACAAAATAGAACTCTCGGTCTAATTAAAATAGCTTTATAAATAAAATAAAGATAATGGATTAAATTTTTATACTAGATAAATGAATAAACTACTATGTAGTATGCATTTAACTGGATACAGTGTTTAATTAATAATTTATTATATTTAAGAAAATTCAATCTTAAATTAATCTTTGATATATTCGGTCACAAAAGTATCATACAATGTTTTTCAATATGTTTAAATAAATCGTTTATTGTTTTTAAGTCTAAAAAAACATAAATAATTTTAACTTGATCATACTTTATAGCCATAGATTAATAAAACTTTTTATTGTCTATGAATTGTCGGCGCGTCACCGCGTCACTTTCATTACGCGAATCCGCCATTTTGTACGTAGCTGGCGGTGATTCAGGGTTTGCTTTCCCGGCTAAGTGTTTATTGCGTGAAAAAACTGAAAAACTTCGTTCAATTAATTTCCTAAACTGACTACAGAAGATACAGATCATCATAGTGTTAAAATTTTGCTCCTGTACCTAGTGCTTTCGTGAATTGTGAGTGCCCTGTAATTGGAGCGCGTGGCTGGTTACTCTTTGTTGTTGGATTCAGCGAATATCAGGTAAGTTTTAAGTATACATAAGAATACTTTATACTTTTAGTCATTCATAATATAGCGATAAAAAATTAGGGTAGTTTTGATAGGGCATTAGAACTTGCATTCTGATAGCGTCATCGAGGTGGTAACAGTGTGGCGCAGTGTGCTAGTCTCCAGCTTAGATATTCTTGACGATTTGTATAATGTCAGGGTTTTACTTCGGCGTATATATTAGAATTTTTCATAATATCTTTGTAGATTTTAATGATAGTATCCACGCGGCTTTTTACTGATTGACATCGGGACGCTGACCTACTTGTAGTAGAAAGTTGATACATTATAATAATTAATTTCTTAGTAAAAATATTATCTTCATTCTAGTTATCCTTTCACAGGTTAAAGACTATCACTAACAAGTTTGTTGTTTACTTTTATTATATCGAATTACAAAAAGTATACACTAGCAAATGCAACTAAGTTAAATAACTTGGTACTTTCACAATTTCTTATATATTATTAAGCTTAGCTGAGAGACAGTCTAAAGTAATCATGCTATTTAATATGCAATATCTGGGTTTTTAATGTGATCAAACAATATTTAATTCATACATGTTTAGCATATGATATTTTATTTCTTAAAATCATACCATATTTGTACCATATATCTGTAAAGAAATTGCATTTGAAAATTAAAAAAAAAGCAATAATTTGTATTATGTATATATTTTAGTTTGATTTGGGTTAAAACATATTTAATTCAAAGTAATTATATAAATATAAATGTTATTTCATCATATGAAAATTCCACAATTAACTAATTGATTGGTCCTTGTTCATAACATATTATTTATATCATTTCTTTACAAAAGTATCCATTATATTTTGAACAAAAATTCTTGTATTGGCTTCAATTAATATTTGGAAAAATATGTGATGTGGGGATCTAAGTCTACATACAAATTTATTTTTATGATGTAACATAAAAATCACAATATTGTTATTATCAAAAATTTAATAAGAATATAAGTATCTTATGAATAGTTTAGGGAAGGTAGAAAGCCATGGGGACAATCCCATAATTATCTAAGAGTGATTAAACAAGTAAGTACTTACTTAGTATTAACATTGTTTCCCATGTCCCTTACAAAAGTTAAATTAGTAGAGAATCACTGAAACTAAGTTTGAATTGGTTAAAAAGTTTGAATGAGATTTCATTTGAAAGTTTTGCTTTTCATTATTTACCTATTTAGCTTTTGTATTTGTTTTGAGTTGTAAGGCTTTGCTTTGGAATTCTTTTAAACTTTCATTAATTTCTTGATTGAAGTTTCTTTGGGGTTGGGAACAATGCTCTTGTGTTCTAAGAACGAACAAGTTTGGTATTGAGGATACAATTTTAAACAAAACTGAATGTTTTTATGTTTGTTTCACTTATTCAAAATTGTATGAAACTTTTTTAACAGTTTTTTTTTCATTTAAACAATAAATAATATTATAGTGTTGATAAGAATACATAATAATTAACTCCACTTTATAAGTAATTCAATTTGCTTTTTAATACTGCTGTACTTAATATATATTTTTACTTATATATTTTATTACGCGTTCAGGTGACCTAAAACCAAATTCTGAGGTTTTACATATTAGTTACAATGCAGTTTTTGTATTTTTTCTAAAAAATGAGATGTTTTCCCGCGGTAAAAAGTATCCTATATGTTGACCTGGATAACCAGCTACCATCATACCAAATTTCATGAAAATCTGTCCAGTGGTTTTCTCGTGATGCGGTAGCAGACAGACAGACAAAAATTCTAAAAACCATAGATTCTGATCCTGTATCGATAATAATGTCTATTTCAATAAGATTTTCCAAATAAAATTTAATGTATAGATTCGACTTAGTTACAATTTTATTATATGTATAGATTATATATAATCTACATGAGCTATATATAAAAAAATGTCACATGAGTATAGCTGTAGAAAATGTATGCTCTTCACAATACATGCATGATTTTAGAACAGAGATTATTATTAGAAATGTCATTATGATGCAACATTGTCAATACATAATTAATCTTGGGACAATGGGATTTGTAAAAGTGTTGTTTCATATTGGAACATAACCATTTCTATGAAATTATTATTCATATATATGAAAAACTTTGTAATACTTTTATATAATAGGTACATAGTTTAATCAAAAATATAAAAAACAATTTTCTTGATTATTGCACTTGTAACTTGCAATAATATGATAAGCATTACTTAACTCTATCAAAGAATCTGATATCAAAATACACAATATGATGTCATTTCCATTCTTGACTGTTCTGAATGCACTATGCAGTATGTTCGTGGTGAGCTACGTCGTAAACAAAGACGTGGCTCGCCTCGACCTATCTAGTATCTCGCTATACTATAAAGACTGAAGAACTGACTCGCTGTCTATACCTAGACTTGTGTTACGTATAGACAGACATGTTCTCTTACTTATGGGCCATAAATAGGGTTGGTGCTTAGTTAATTTCAGTAGATAATATTTCATACTACATATGCCAAAGCAATTAATGCTCTACGAATGCTTGGTAAAATTATTGTTAAATGAAAAATTTAACATAGTCTTTGCGAAGCCATTAATATATTATAAGATGATAATATTTGCTTAGGATTAAAAAATTGTACTCATTAAGTAAATATCGCGTTAACTTAAAATAAATATTGCTTAATACTAAGTTATATGCAATGACAACCTGTTCATTTTCCTATACCTGTATGATTATATGAAATTTACATCCAATTTAGATAAAATATGGAATGAAATTTATTTTCAGCACTTGTAATTAAATGGCAACATTTTCAATATGTATAAATGACCGTGACCGCGATAGACATGCGTCAAAGCTATAAATAAGCGTACTATGTATAATATTAAATTATTCATAAGAATATTAACACAGTCTGCGTTTTTTTCCATTATAAAACAATTTTGATGACTTCGCCGCATAACTAGGTAATAGATATGAAGTGAATAACGCTGTATAATTAATGTAATATGTCATTTCTATTTATATTAAATAAAATAACAAGAAATGTGGAAAAATATGCAATTTAAATAGTATTGGTGAAGTACAATATATGTACATTTGCATTATTATTAACACTTAGCTGTATTATAATTTTGGTAATGAGACGGCCAGGTGAATATATTTATCAAAACTTTTAAGTTCTTTTTAAGCATTTTGGATTTAAAATGTTATAAATATGTATGTAGTTATGTCATCGTAAAAATGTATGACTTAAACCATCACGATTTAACACGCATGGCCGCCTCGGTAAATGCTGTGTGTGTGCAGTGTTCACAGCACGTCATCCGCACACGCACACACTCGTACGAACCGGCTCAACCGCTTGATTGACTATCTGTTATCTTACTTTGATTTATATATTTTCTAATATACCTATTATATAGTGTAGCTTCTACTGGTCGTAATAAATATATTTATTAGAGATGTGCCGACTAGTCGCCGACTAGTCGGCCACTTTTGTAGTTGGCGACTAGTCGGCGGATGGCCGGTAAAAAGGGCCGACTAGTCGGCTTCTTACTTTGTACGTATTTTTTAATCAATCCATCAAAATATACTTTATTAAATTAGACTTTTACAAGCTCTTTTAAATCGTCATTTTTACATTATGAAAATAAATATTTTACATTAAATATTTGTGTGTAAGTTCGTGAGGAAACTAATAAAATATATGTATTTACAGCCCTTTTTCATTCTAATGATTCGCACATGAAAATATCAGATGTGCGAGACAGAGATTGAACCCGCATTACTCGGTTATCCAAGCGAGCGTGTCACTGGGCTATCACTGTTGCCATAGCTAGAGAGCCAGCTTAAATCTGACAACACATATTTTACAATACCTGAAATTTTGGTCCAGCTATACTGCTATAAAAATAAATATAAAATTAATAAAATTCTCAACACCTAATGTCAAAGTTGTTGATGATGGTGTAATATTAAATGGCGAAGTGTAAAAACCTGTAGAGTCCACTAAATTCCTAGGTATTAT